TAGAGGTCTTTTCCAACCTAAGTGGTTCTGTGAGGCTGTGATCTCAGCTGGAGGGGAGCGGGGAAATGGGAGCAGGTGACTGAGAAAGAATCCTCCACAGATGTCTGCTGTGAGGGCCAGAGCAAGACATTAGTCTCCTGTGCTGCTTGGAATAATTGTGGGCAGAGGAGAGAGAGGAATATCCTGCTGGCGAATGTACTACGAGGGCACAGGGCATCTTTTTTGGATAAAGACATCTAAAGTATTTCCACTGAAGCTGGAGAGTAGAGAGGAGGAAAGGTCAACTAAAACAACTACAGCTGTGGAAAATGGCAGCAGCTGGAATTGCAGCTTTGTTCCCAGGCAGCATTTGGCATCACTCATGTGGATGGTGCTACTGCCCTCCCACAGTTTCATCTCCCGACAGCCAAAGCTCGCCAGTGACTGATGCATTTCCATGTGGTTTAAGGGAATGCTTGGCTTTCCGTTTCAGCCTGTTTTTTCATCCTTCCACCCCCGTCTTGACCTGGCCAGACTGCACCATCGTCATAATCCCGAGCTGGCTGCATTGCCGAGCTTCCCAGCCACTAAATCACCATGCTGGAAATCACTAGATTAGGTCTTAATGGCAGGATCAAGTCAGTGGGAGATGAGTGGGGAGAAAGCTCCTGCTGACACAGGTGGACAGGCAGCCCTCCTCGAGAAAACAGGCTAGAAAGCCTAAAATGTCAGAAAAACATCCTCTTTCCTGGCCTTTCTGGCTTTTCTCTGCTTTTGACACATCCATTGTTTTTCAAGGGTCAGAAAACTCTGGTCTGAGTTTTGTGAAGACGATATGGAGAAGTCACAGGTGTTCAAACATTTCCTCCCTCACAGGGGAAAATGCTGTCTTGAGTGATGGACGTTCTGTCCCAGATATTAATTCCCAACACTAAATTCTGCCACCCCCATTGGAAATCCTGGCTGCAGGATGTCACAGTGTGCTGGAGGATGCCAAGGGATTGTGGCTGTCTTTCACACCTGTTCTGGTGGGGCTCCTGGAACACCAGAGTGCCTGGGAAGTGTGGTGGATGTTTTCCAGGGTGGCATTACCACTGAGCAACTGAGATGCTCCAGGCTGGGGCCTGGGTAGTGGTCCTTTGGGAAGGTGGCACAGCAGAGATTGCACAGACCAGGGCTCTGCCCAACCCTGCTCTTTACCTGCACAGGTCATCAAGGGCCCTTGGTCAGCAGGGCTCTGAGGTGTTGCATTTTATCAGCCTGCACTGACCAGGAGAAGCTGTGGCTGCCCCTGGATCCCTGGAAGTGTCCAAGGCCAGGTTGGACACTGGGGCTTGGAGCAGCCTGGAAGAGTGGAAAGTGTCCCTGAACATGGCAGGGGGTGTGAAATGAGATGAGCATTAAGGTCCCTTCCAACCCAAACCATTTTGTGATTCTGTGATACAGCTGCAAGAAAGAGGGGTTTTCTGGAGGCCCTGTGATGGATGGTGGCGGGGTGACGGAGACTTTCTCCTCTGCATTTGCTTGTTGGTGCCTGTGAACTTTCCACCCAAACTTTTCAGGGAGGGAGAGTTATGCCACTGGGGCATCTTTGCACAGAGTTGTCCTCTCTGTTTGGTTTTGGACAGCTTGAACAAAACATTGCTATATCCCCCAAAAATAACTCTAGGAAGCAAAGGCTTACTCATATGGGGCTCATGCACCCAGTGAGCCTGAGGAACACATGGAAGGAGGAAGAGGAGGACAAGGGCTGGCTTCAGCAAGCATAGAGCCAGCAATATCCTCCAGCCCCTGCTGGGGGAATTTGGGCTCTGCTCAAGCTGAGCTGAGCCGCCTGCCATCAGGGCCGGGCATCCCTAATAGGATATCAGAGGCATGACTCCCTTGATCCCAGCATCCGCTTTTCCAGCTCCTGTATGGAAGCCCAGAGCTCCATTTGCCTCCTCCTGTTCTGCTTCATGTGCCTGTTCCTGTACGGGAGACGATTGTGTTATTAAATTAATTCAATCCACAGTGTTCAGATTTCCCCTAATTGGAAGGGAATTGCTCGCTTTTTAGGGACGTGTTGGTATTTGTGAGGTATCAGCAAGCATAAACACAAGAGCACTCGCTGAGGCAACTGCTCCAACCTCTGAAAAATGGGAAAAGAGAAAAATTGGAGTGCATATGTTTGCATGTGGGGAAGAGGAGTATTCCTGCTGTTCTGGGCTTTCATTTTCCTTCCTATTCCTTAATCACTGATTCCTGAGTTGCTTTTTCAGACATAGGGGATTCCTGATAGATTAAAGAAATTTCCCAGAATTTAATATATTTGAACTGATTCTAGAAGAACCAGATTGCCCTGAGAACTGACAATGTCTCCTCCAGGCACTCTTGCAAAGGCAGCTGCAATTAACAGGCCTATTTATTGTGGAATGGGATCATCCTTTGGAAGGGCACTGTCCAGCTTTGGGGCAAATCTCCCTTTGATGTAGTGCAAAAGAGGATGCTCCAGTCCTTCACCTGTGGTTGCCCAGGTGTGATGTTTGGCAGAGACTGGTTTGGCATGCTACTTCCCTTTTGGGGCCAAGCTTGACACTTCTGTCTCCTAATTCCATGCCTTTGACCTCTGTGGGGCTGCCCCTGATTTGCACTGGGCTGGAGCTGGGCTCTGCCTCTACTCTGTCCATTGGGCTGGATGTGATGGTGGCCTCAGGGCTCTCAAGTGGACAAAGGACCCATTTCAAAGCTGTGGTGAACAAGGCAGAACACGATGGTAAAGAGGAAGGGGCTGAGATGATTCTCTCTTCAGGCAGGGAATGCTCTGAAATGCTCAAAATCGCATTTTAGGGGATAATTTTTCCCAGCCTTTTGTCCATGAGGAATGAGGGCTGCTGGGGGTGGCCCGTGCCCACAGTAAATGCTTCAGCTCTATTGTTGCCATGCCTTCCATTGAGCTCATGAGACCCCTATAAAACACTTACCTTTCACTAGTATGGTTAAGAAAAGGCCAATGTAGCTTTCCCACTCACTGGAGCATGAAGCGTGTTTAATTTAATAATGCTGATAAATCTTAAAGCCAGGAGCATTTGGCTAACACATGACCCACTTTTTCAATCAATTGGAAGCATTTACATAACAGCCTGATGCAGGGTTCCTCCTGCTAAGGATGTGGGGCTCGAGATGGCAAACACCCTCCCTACCACAAGATATGGGGACTGGCTTTAGACTGAAAGAAGGGGAGGATTAGATGAGATTTTAGGAAGAAATTCTTCCCTGTGAGGGTGCCCAGGGAAGCTGTGGCTGCCCCTGAATCCCTGGAAGTGTCCAAAGCCAGGTTGGACACTGGGGTTTGAAGCAGCCTGGGATAGATAGTGGAAGGTGTCCCTGCCCATGGCAGAGGAGTAGAATGGGATATCTTAAGTTCCCTGCCAACCCAAAACATTTTGCGATTCTGTGATGCCTTTGGTGTAGGAGTTTGTCTCCTGACACATCATGAGCACTGGAAATGCTGACCTCCACCTATCAGCTTATTGACCCTTTCTGCACTGACTCCCATGCACAGGAGTCAACCTGGGGTTAAACAACACACCCAATTATTCTTTTCCTTCATTGTTCACTTTACAGTGGGCTCAGCCTTGAAAATTCCTCATCTTGCCTGTTCTGTTACAGTCTCTCAGCCCATTCCCATTACTTTCATCTCCAATGTTGTCACCTTTTTCCTTGGAAATATTATCCTTCTCCCCACCCTTAAAAGCACCTTTTGGCTTGACATAGAACCAGAGAATAACAGCGTGGTTTGGACTGGAAGGGACCTTAAAGCTCATGCCATTCCACTTCTGCCATGGGCAGGGACACTTTCCACTATCCCAGGTTGCTCCAAGCTCTGTCCAGCCTGACCTTGGACACTGTCAGGGATGGGGAGTCCACAACCTCTCTGGGCAACCTGTGCCAGTGAACCTGTTTTGGTGTTCAGCACATTTCATTTCTTATCCTTGTGAGGATTCTGTCCTTTTTTCATTTGTGACATGCAGCAGCCTCGAGCCCAGTGTTTGCACATAGGTCATAAGCAGCCTCATTCTCAGTGAGCCAGTGTCCTTTAGCTTTAGGGAATTCTATCTCCCTGCAAACCACATGGGTTTATCCATTTTGGGTTTCATAATAACCTCTGGGAAGAGGTTTTGGATCAAACCCATCCCCATCCATGGTCTGTGCATTGCTGCTGTTTATTCATCCCAGCTTACATTAAAGCAGTACTTGAGAATTTGTTTATCTCCCGCTTTTTTTTGCTCACGTAAGTCCCCGTCTGAGCAAAGGGAATTGCCAGATGCTTGTGAGCAGAATGGAAAATCTCCCATCTGATACAGACTGAGGGATTAAATCTGAGGGAGAATTGCTCTGTATCTCTCAGCACTGCACATAGAAGGACACTGGCACCTCCTTCTGGGATGGCACTGCTCTCCCCATGCAATGGGCTGCAGGGATATTTCATATGCCACGTCCTCATGCAGAGATGCTCCTGAAGTTATCAGGAATGAAAAATTAAGGATTTGTTGCCATTCTCTGTTTTTTATCTCTTTCCCCCCCTCCTTGCCTTCAAAACATCAGTGGCATCTCTAGAGGGCAGAGGAGGAAAGAGAGAGAATGGAGAAGGAAAACAGCATGGTTTTGTTAGATATGTGTGACATGAATGGCTGGAAGTGGTGTGGTGCACAGTCTGCCCAGCTGGGGAGCTCTCAAGTCAGGATGTGTGGCAACCAGGATGCCAGTTCTGTCCTTCCCATTCAGTGCTCCTGGGGTCAGATAGACAATTCCTGCCCACGGAAAAAGTGCATTGTGGTTTTCTTTATGCTGGAGATGCTGAGCTTTCATTTGCTAGGTAGGTGCTGCGGGTCTTTTAAAGCACCACTGTCACCACTGGCCCTTGGACAGGCTGCTTGTCTGCTGCCTTGGTCCAGGGTTGTTTTTTGGCTGCTCTGTGGGGGTCTATCCCCCTCCAAGGAACCTGTTCTGAGAGCAAACCTTCCCTGCTGTGTCCCCAGGTGATCCAGGCAAGGTGCTGCCCGTGTCTAGGCTGCTCTCCCAGCTAACGCACGTCTCCCATCCCCTGGTAGGAAATGGAGTCCAAGGTCTCTGAAGGTGGCCTCAACGTTACCCTCACCATCCGGCTGCTGATGCACGGCAAGGTAAGGGGATCCCACAGCGTCCTCACAGCCCCCTCTCCCACCTGCCCAGACCCACACACAGCTTTGTCCAGCTGTGCCAGCCCTGTGAACAGCTGTCCTGCGGGTGGGGAGGGTAGCATGGTTAGGTGCTCCTGCTCCCCCTCATTCCTGCCCCTCAACCCTGTCTCTCCACTGGGGACAGTGTCCACCAGGTCTTTACTTCATTATGAGATGGGGCTGGATTCTCATCATGTTTTCTAATGTCAGTTCCTCTGGTTTTGGCTTTTTTCTCCACATAGGAAGTTGGAAGCATCATTGGGAAGGTAAGGATGCATTTAGTGTACAGTTGATGCTGTTCCTGCACCTGTGATGTGGTAGATGCTGTAGTCACCTCTTCCCTGTCATGTCCTGAAAAGTGTGGGGTGCCTGAGCTGGTTGCTGCATTTGTGAGCCAGAAACTGTGAGAGACCTACAGAGGCCTCAAAGACCATTCCCCTAAAAACCCCACCAACCACCAAACTGTTCCCAGCTGCTTCACTGGGTAATGGCTGGGAGTTTATGTTGCTCTGGTGTTTTCATCAAGTAACTTCATTAAGAGATACTAAAAATATCACACAGATACATTTAAATTATATCTAAAGTAATTCTATAGTCCCTGTCTCTGAGGCCAGAGGACTTCATTTATCTTTTGCAAAAAAGTCTCCTGAGTTGCTCTGGTGTTTCCACAGTGGTTTGGGAAGTCCTGGCTGTACAGGACTTAGGGGCTTTTTTTTTGAGGTCGTTTTAAAAGAAGGGTTTATGGCGGCAAAGATTTGCAGCACGAACACGTTTTCCCTGTAGACTTGTGTCTTATTTTTCCATCAGCACATCCAACTCTGGGAAGATTCACAGTTGTGAATTTGTATATATATGTATATTTGATGATTTGCATGCTCAGCTCTTCAGCTGACCATCACCTGGGGGTGCAGGGCCAGGCATCACAGCTCCCATGCTTTTGGCTACAAACTGCCATCTATTAGGGAGATGCATTTTCGGTAGGATTGTTTTAATGGTAGAAGTCTTGAATATTCAGTAATAGCTTGGTTTTCCCTCCTGTTCCAGAAAGGAGAGACTGTGAAGAAGATGCGTGAGGAGGTGAGCAGCCTGCTCTGTGGATGATTTGTAGGAGGGAGTGCAGAGTGGCCAGAGCTGCACATGTGCGATATGTGCAGGAATTCCCAGGGTCAGGAGAAGCAAGCCAGCTGCCCTCAGAGCTCTTTGGACCAGTTTTCTCCCTTCACACTCAAACTCCTATCACATTTTCCAGAGTCAAGTATTTAATGAAACATTGAAATTAAGTCACTTGTAATATGCTTTGAGTTTGTTCAGGGTCTTTGTGCCTGCAGCTCCCAGGGAGCAAAACTCTTCACAGGCCATTGCCTGTGAAGGCCCAATGAGCTGGTCTTGCCTTGATCCCATGGATTCCCTTTTCAGTGAAACACTGGAAACCCTTTCTGAGGGTTGGGATAAGTCAGGGCTGAAATCACTGCAGAAGAAGGGTGGGAGTTTGGAAGGTTAGACAGAATGCTGTGAGGCTGGCACAGGTATCAGGCTGAGAGAGGACCCAACCTGATTACTTGGCTGTGACTATTCCAGGACTCTTCTTCTCTTTCCAGAGCGGGGCAAGGATCAACATCTCGGAGGGGAACTGTCCTGAGCGGATTGTGACCATAACTGGCCCCACTGATGCCATCTTCAAGGCTTTTGCCATGATTGCCTACAAATTTGAGGAGGTGAGAAATGTGAGCCATCCCATGAGAAATGGCTGGCCAGCCAGCCAACCAGTGCCTGGTTGGATTTGCCTAACTGGGACATGGCCTCAGCAAAGAACCTTTCAGACATCTCTAACTAGGGTGGGTCTGGAGCACAAGTCTAATGGGGAGTGGCTCAGGGAGCTGGGAGACTCAGCCTGGAAAAAAGGGAGGCTCAGGGGGGAACTTCTCGCTCTCTACAACTGCTTGGAAGGGGAAGGGGAGTGTAGCCATTTAGGGGTTGGTCTCTTCTCCCAAGTAACAAGTGACAGGACCAGAGGAAATGACCTCAGGTTTGGGTTGGATATTAGGGAAAATTGCTTCACTGGAAGGTTGGTCAGGCCTTGGAACAGGCTGCCCAAGGCACCTGGTGGTCACTATCCCTGGAAGTGCTCAAAAGGAAACACTTTAGTCACCTGACCATAATGCATGTGGATGTGGCACCTGGGCACCTGTGGCACTGTGGCTCTGGTTGGGTACCAAGGGCTGACATGCTGCACTTTTCCTTTCCAAGGACATAACCAACTCCATGAGCAACAGCACTGCTACCAGCAAACCTCCGGTGACACTGCGGCTTGTGGTGCCAGCAAGTCAGTGTGGCTCCCTCATTGGCAAGGGGGGCTCCAAGATCAAGGAAATCCGAGAGGTAAAGCAGATTCCATTCTATTACTGCACTTCAGCACAGCTCCTTGGAGCTGAGCCGTGGCCGAGGGGAGCTGCCTTGGGAAGGGGATTCCTCTGCTGCCTCATGCATCATGTTGTTTCCCAGGGTGGTCTGGCCAATGTGGGAGCAGCGTCCCACAGGATGCCATGTGCCAGGCCTTGGGAGGCATGTGGTGTCAGAACTGGAGCTGGCTCCAGATGAAGGTGTTCAGCTGTGGAATTTCTCCTTCCTCTCTCTTTCTGTCTCCAGTCCACAGGTGCTCAGGTCCAAGTGGCGGGGGACATGCTGCCCAACTCCACGGAGCGGGCAGTGACAATCTCGGGGACACCCGACGCAATTATCCAGTGTGTCAAACAGATCTGTGTGGTGATGCTGGAGGTACAGTCTGTAACAAAGGGGGTAAAGTACATACGGAAAAAATCCCAGCTGGCTCCACCAGAGCGCTGGGAGCTGTGGAGCGTGTCTCTCTCGTCCCCTTCACCACACGTTGTTGGACCACTCTCATTTCTTGGTACCTCCACTGGAAACACACCCTGTGTCTTTTCCCCACCATTGTCCGTAGTTTCTAGAGTCCCACACTGGAAGCTTGTCTGGTCAGGTGCCCCAGAGGAGGTGTTTTGTGTCAGAGCAGAGGGTGGCTTCAGGGAAGAGAGGTGCCAGCAAGCTGGGACAGCCTGGCCTGGTGCCCCAGCAGCACCCAGGGTGCTGTGGGAAGGAGATGGGGGCCACAGACACTGCTCCAAGAGCCTGGTCTCTGCCTCACAAGGACCACAGCCAGGAGGAGGAAGAGGAGGCCAGAGCTTCCCCTGCACTGGGGGAGATGGAACTGGGAGCAGAAGGCTGTGTTTCAGTGGGGCACAGTGGGAATAGGGGTGAGGAAGGCTGGTGGAGAGCAGGGACTGTAGGGCACATGGATATATGATCAAGGTGCCATTTTCTGGGATAAATGCTGACAAGCAGAGCTGGAAGATCTCTGCTGTGGAGAGATGCTGCAGTACTGTTGCAGTAGTTGCTGGACCTCAGCCACATGCCCCACATCCACACTTGCCACTTCAGATGGGAGAAGCTCTAGAAGGAGAGCCTCTGGGACATGGGACAGTGACACATTCCATTCCTGGTGCGTCCCAGAGCCAGACAAAGCTCATGTCTCATGTAAAGACTTATGTAAGGCCCCTCTGCCTAGCTGCACAGCCCTTTCACAGCAGGAAGGAGCACGTTTCCCACTGGAAAAGTTTCAGATGGGGATGACAAGGCTTGGTGAAGGTAGAGCAAAGCCAAATGGAAGCATCTTCAGCTTGGCAGCAGCACATCTCAGGAAGGATAAACAGGAGCCATGTTCCCCATCCCTGCTGGCTGTGATGCTCAGGCAGCTGCACTGCTGCCAGAGGAATTTTAGGCACCCAATGACTCCAGGTTACAGATTGCAGCAGAGATGAGCCTGAGGTGATGCTTGTCAAGTGTGTTAAAAAGTCTTTCTTACAAAGCAAGATGTGCTGCTCCTCTGTCCAGCTCAGCCATGGGAAAAACCCATGAGTCTTCTTGTAGTCTGAAATCTGGAAAGTGCCCTGGCTTTAGTGGCTTACAGAGATGTTCCACATCACCTTTCAGTCTTAAACAGGTAATCTTGGCTCGTACCCTCCAAGATTTGCAATGCAATAAAAGAACAAGTAGGAGATGTGGATGTGCTGGAGATGTGCTTTGATCAGCTTTCCCAGGAGCAGGACAGGAGCAGGAGGATTTAGATAATGCTGCTTGCCTACAAGTAGACATCCAAAGAACATACAGGAAAAAAAAAAAGTTTTCCATGAGATAGTGTAATTTCTATTGCCTGTCCTTATATAGCAGTCACTGAGTTGTTTAATTTTGGGTGGAAGCAGGAGGAGAGCTGAAATATCTCCTGATCCCTAGAAACCTCCAGGTTTCCTATGGCCTGTAAGTTGTTCAGGAAAAAAACAGAGGGAGAACCTGGGCAAGCAGCTCCTGTGCATCACACCAGCAGCTCTGTCACCGCAGCTCTGCTCAGACCTACCCAAGGACCTGACAGAGAGCAGCAAGACCACAGAAACACGGAATCACCAATCACAGAATGGGGTGGGTTGGAAGGGACCTTAAAGGCTATCTAGTTCCAGCCCCCTGCCACGTGCAGGGACACTTCTCAGCTGATCTTGCAGCACCTATGTCCCAACTCAGTGAGGGACCGCACCAGGGCCTGGAGGTGACCCTCTTCTGGCAGCGAAGAAGATGAGGGAAGCCAAAGAGCTTGACTATGGTGCCAGGTCACTCAGATGGGCTGTACCTACCCATTTTGCTGCTTCAGGCTCTCCTCAGGGCGTTCTAAGGAGGGTTCTCAGAGCCTAGAGCAGGCAACGTGGTTTGTGCAGAGCAGAGTGAAGCTGAGGGAGGCAGCAGAGGTCCAGGAGGCCGATCAGGGGCCTGTGCCTTGGCAGGGGATCTCCTGTGCCCCAGGTTGTCCTTGTTGCCCACAAATCCCCTCTTTCCCCGTGTGCTCCTGTCCAGAAACGCGGTGTTGCCTGGTGCGGGTGTTGCTGTGGCGGCCCCGGGGGCCGTGCTCCATTAGGTGCTTTCTAACGCTCTTTTTGCCGCTGTTTCAGGAAAGCTGTTCTAATGTTCTCTCTCCCTCTCCTTATCCCTTTTCCTAGTCCCCACCAAAAGGTGCCACCATTCCCTACCGCCCAAAGCCCGCCTCCACCCCTGTCATTTTTGCAGGTGGTCAGGTAAGAGCCGACCCGCTTGCAGCCTCCACTGCCAACCTCAGCCTTTTACTGCAGCACCAGCCGCTGCCCGTTAGTGCACTCAGGTTTCTTGCCTTCTGACTTGCATGGTGTCATCCCATCCGTTGTGTGCCACGGCAGCTGGACTGAAAGCTCTGGGCTTAGCTCCTGTCATGGATGCCGGACAGTGAGGAGAAGGGAAGGGCCAGCCTGGGCGTCATCTCCATGTCAGGGTGTCACACAGAGGAAAGGCTGGGATTTGCTTCTCTAGACCCAGGTTCAGTGTTTGTCAGTGGTTGAGAAGGAGAGGATTAGAAAAGCATTGTTGAGCAAGAGGCTGTCCCTGCTCTATGGCACCTCCAGCCCAGTTAAAAATACCTTTGTGTGGCTGTAATTGATCCAAGGTAGGAAGGGTTTGTCTCAGCTACTTCTCTGCTCAGGGCAGCCCCCACAGAAGGGCCATGTCCCCCTCCCTGGTTTGGGTTGCTGCTTCCCTCTGGGGCAAAGCCTGCACTGTGTCACCCCCAGTGACATTGCAGCCTTGCAGACACCACGTGCTATTTCCAGTAGCAAGCCCTGGGCTGGTTTTTCCTTTGTGGGATAACCATAGCACAGGTTAGCTGGAGGTTATTCTGCAAGTGACAATCAGCAGGAGCAAGGGCAACTGAGCACATGGCTTGTTCTAAAGAGGGAATTTGCACCTCTGCTTTCTTCACCTCATCTCCTCGCCTCACCTGGTGACCCAGGACCTGCCTGTAGATGCCACCATCCTGTGGTCTATCACATCCAGCAGGGGATGTACCTTCCCAAGAGATCCTGCAGCCAGGTAGGGCCAGCACCACAAAACCACAGCTTAGGCCACCCAGAGCAGCTCCACAGATTTATTTCATTTCTCTCCAACTATAATAAAAAAGGACAAACTAAGACCAGGAGCAAAGCCCAGAGCACAGGCTATTTCAGGCTGAATTAGTCATTGCCAAGATAGGGAGTGTGTGACTCCATCTGAGCAGCGGTCCTGGAAAAGAGCTTTGAGTCCAGCTGCCTGGTGAACTGATCTTTTCAAAAGGGAGAGTGAGATGGAGGCAGCAATTCTGCCGTGAATGGTTGGTGTCTTGGACAGAAGTAACATCACTGGAAGAAAGCAACTGTTTCAGAAGTGAGAGCTCTTCCCAAGGCTGGGAGCCCTATGGCTCTGCCTGAGGGGTAGCACGGGGCAAGGGGACAGAGGACAACTGGTGACAGGCAGGAATTTGGGGTGGGATGAGTCTCCAGGAGCACAGCAGGCTGAGAGATGAAGTGGGCAATGGCAGATGCCAAAGGTACCAGCCCTCAAAGGTCAGGGCTGAGTTGCCTCTGTCCAAAACACCTTCCTGCCCTTGATTACATTTTTTGACTCAATTTTTCTAATCAAAAGCCAATGGCCAAATTAAACCACCAGGACAGGCAACTCTTCAGCCTCTGTCCCATTGTGCTGGGATGCTGGTGGGCACTGGGACAGCCATCTTCCCTTTTCCTTCTCCATGATTTTGGGGCTTGCCTTCACACAAAGCACCTTGTTCTTTGCGAATTATGTGGCAAATTTGCAGGAGGCTCCCAGGTTTTCTCCTTTCATTTTTCTTGGCAATCTTTACTCTCCCTTTTCAAAGTGTTCTCCATCTCTTTTGCCATTTCTTTCAGAATCATCTGAATAATGTGTCAACCAGTGAAATACATTTTGCTAGCTGGTTAAGTCCTAAATATTGGGCTCTCTAGTGTCTGGCTCTTCACCCACACTGGTGCTTATTTTGGGGTTATTTATCAACAAAAAGAGAAAGGATTGCTACAAAGGATGGGAAAAACACATAAACCCATTTACCTGGAAGATGCTTGCATGGATTTACCAATTGCAGCTGGTGAAAGGCATCGCAGTGCAGGCAGCCCTCACCTCGATGCCTTTCCAACTCCCCAGCAGAGCACTGGAATATACTGGGTGGATGTAAAGCATCCACTGGGGCTTGTGCACCTGAAAATAATGGAGAGCCTCATGGAGCTGGCTTGCTTTTTGGGTTTGCACTTGGGCAGTGATGTCACTGTGCACCTGCTACACAGGTAGTTCTGGTTATTAGAGAATCACAGGAGGGCTTGGGTTGGAAAGGACACTAAAGATCATTCACTTCCAACTCACCGCCCCCCCCCCACTGATCCTTATTTTTTGTACAGCAAAGACCAGCCACAGCCTAATATTCCTGCTCCATGCAATGCTGGCACCTATAAAGAGCTGTTTCTTTCCTTTTGAAAAAAGCCAAACAGAGCCCGAGCCCTTGAAGTCAGGTAGCTCAACATGGTCTAGGTTGGATGGGAGATGAAACATCTCCCTCCTGCCCCAAGGATTTGGTGCCCCAAGGAATTTAATGTGGCACAGGGGGTCCCAGCAGAGGGATGGAGTTCTCTCCCCACATCCTGCCAGCCCTGGTAACATCTTTGTTTTTCCTTTTCAGGCCTATACAATTCAGGGACAATACGCTATTCCACACCCGGATGTGAGTTTTACCCTAATTTTTCTTATACCCTTTTCTGTCACCTGCATGCTACTGTTAATTCACATAATATTAATATTAGCCAATAATATTAATAGCATATTTTCAAAGTGACTGGCCATGTGTAGCATCTGTAATACCTCGAGTAGCCTTTTAACCTGTTAGCACTAAACTTTATTACTTCTGAGGACTTGGCCTGATGCTAAATTGTTTGCATTATTCAGTGCTATCCCTTTGTTCTGTTAGAAACCATACTCTATGCATTTTGTGCCTCAAAATGATCAAAACAAGAAAAAAAAAAAAAAGAATACCTTCCCTTCTATTTTCCCCTTGTCTTTAAAATGTTGGTGAGCCAAGGGCATATTTACCTTCTGAGTGCCTTGGTGGGTTGGGAAGAAGCCAGAGCTCCAAGGGTTTTGTGCTTGAAGACTGGGCAGGGATGTGCCTTTCCGAGGGGGTGTTCCTTCAGATGATGTGGAAATTAAACTAAGCCCCCACCATGTCTCCCAGAGGGCCCCCAGAGGGCCCCCAGAGCAACGTGGTCACCCTGGGTTGGGTGGCTGTCTCACTGCTGTGGGTGGCTGTTACCCACTGCAGGGCAGCCTGAGGACAGCCCCCACTTCACCTCGGGCTCCTTGGTGCAGAGGCAGGAGCTTCTCTGAGCTGCTCTGACTGAGGTTTGCTGATGCTGGGATCTCTTGGGCTCCCATGCCTGTGGGGGGGTCAGGGAGCACTTTTGTGGGGGGACCACATAGGGATCAACAGCTGGAATGTGCGCACCTGAAATTACCAAGGGAAATAGAAAATCAGTCTGTTTGAATGATTTCTCTGAGGAAAGCAGGGAAGTTCAGCTTCTGAGGTGGTCATGGCTCCTGGAAAAAGCAGGAACTTGCTAAATGTGTTTCCAAGGGGACAAAATACCCATTGAGTCTCACTGCAGAGGGTCCCTCCTGCTGTGAGGCAGGGATCTGCGGTGGGGCTGAGGATGTCGCAGTGGGTGGAAAACATTCTCCAGCCATCTCACCCATGGGAAGGGGTTGATGCAGCTCAGTGTTCCCCTTTCCAGTGAGTGCACTGGGTACTAAATCATAAAATTTCTTCTTCTGTGGTTGAGAAGGTGGCAAGACTGTTTGATACTACGAATGCCTGTCCCATATGGGAACATTTGGGAGTTGTAGGCTGGATTTTCATCCTAGGAGAAGTGGTTTCACTGGAATTAGAGGAATCCAGGCTTTGGCTTTCTATGTGTGTACTCTGAACAGCCTGCTGTGATGGTTGATAAGAAATATTCCTAATTATGTACTCTTTGCTTTTACTCCATAAGCAGAAAACTAAAAAACCCGTGTATTTAGGGTAGATCAATGCAGTCTTTATCCCAGTTTTTCCCTGCGAGTGGTGCCAACAGCTTAGTGTTTTCCTTGTTCCTATATTCCTCTGATTGTCAGGATTAAAATACATTTGATGGCTGCACTCTGCCCCACTCCCGGCAAATTTCCTGAATAAAGCTGTTGGTACAGGGGCTACTCACTCCACCCTTACTCTCGGGGTGTTCTTTCAATGATTGGTCATTTTAAACAAGGTTCAATACAGAACCCAGTCTAGAATGTGCTTTTAGGGCATTTTAAACATGTTTTAGGTGCCTGTGTTTAGTGGATGCCTTTTGCAAAGGAGGCAGAATTTTGAATGCCCAGTGTGTGCTCCTGTCTTGGTTTTGTCCCCTGGAGAAACATCCCAGGACAAGGAAAGCTTTGGCTCATGAGGGGTTTCAGCATTGCCTGGGTGTTTTTGGGTGTTTGGGATGTGATGCATAGGTGCCTGCCTTCCCAAAAGCTACGGGATCATAGAGTCACAGAATAGGTTGGGTTGGAAGGTCCCTTAAAACGCATCTCACTCCAAACCCCTGCCATGGGCAGGGGCACCTTCTCCTGTCCAAGGCTGCTCCAAGTCCCAGTGTCCAGCCTGGCCTTGGGCACTTCCAGGGACCCAGGGGCAGCCACAACTTCTCTGGGCACCTGTGCCAGGGCCTGCCCACCCTCACAGGGAAGGATTTTTCTCCAGAATCCCATCTAACCCTGCCCTCTGTCAGTGTGAAGCCATTCTCCCCTGTCCTGTCACTCCTTTGGGCCCTTGTCCAAAGTCCCTCTCCAGCTCTATTGGAGCCCCTTCAGCCCCCTGCAGCATCTCCGTGGCCTCCTCTGGACTCACTCTAACAGATCCATATCCTTGCTGTGCTGGAGACCCCAGAGCTGGATGCAGTACCTCAGGTACAGTCTCACCAGAGCAGAGGGGGCTCTCCCCTCCCTCGACCATGGAAGATGAGCTGGAAGAGATGGATGTAGCAGCTTTTTCTGTGACACCTGGGTTTAGCCATCTTCTCCTGCCCTAGGCTTGTTTATTGCTCTGATTGCAGGGACTGCATAAATACCACTATGCAAACTACGTCTGGAAGGTCTAGTAGGTCAGTATTAGAAAGGATTTTGGTCTCCGCCTCTTGGCAAAGCAGGATCCCTGTCCCAGAGCACGGCTGGAGCCCACTGGGCAAAGAGGTTTCATCTGGAGTCCTGCCAGTGGGACCAGGTGGCACAAGGAATTCCAGAAACAGGGTGCAGCTCCAGAAACAGGGCATTTCTGAAGTTAAGAAGCAGTGGATGCTGATGTCCCTGCTCCCTGAAGGAGCAGTGACATGCCCAGTGTTGTCTGGAGACAGCCATGTTGTGGCAGGAGCCTGGCCTATCACACCTTTGGATAAAATAAGCCGAAGACAGCCAAAATAAGCACAGAGATGTGCAGACAACTCTTTCTGTGGAGTGGTGAGACCTGTCCCCTGAGGCAGTGCAGGCTGGGTGTCCTCCAGACAGGATAGGGATCCCAGAAGTACCTGTCCAGGGATTTGCAGGTATTTCACCACTTCCTGCTGCCTCCCCCCAGTCTTCCCCCAGCCAGCACAGCCCTCAGGTCAGCTCTTCCCAGCATCCCAGTGCTTCCAGCCAGACCTCCCCACTCTCCCTCCCCAGCCCCGCTGGAGCAGCAAAGAGGTGTTTGAGTCTTGTTTTCCAAAACACTGCAACTGTAACTCCGGCCTCCCCATTACCAGGGATGATGGGCAAAACAAGCAGTTTGAGTTTGGGGGGGTGATGCTGTGCTGACAACTCCCTGAGCACCTGTGAAAGTGGGAGGTGATGAAGAGCCTCCCTCCTGCTCATTGCCAGACTTCAGCCCAGTTTGGTTTGTTTTCTTTATTTTCCTGTCTTTTTGGTTTTTTGGTTTGTTTGTTTTTTCTTTTTTAATTTGGAGCAGTAAAACCAAGCACAAAATGTATTCCAAACAAACACCTCTCTATAAAACTGCTTCCTGACTGGACAGCAAAACCTCCCTGGCACAACAAGGGATACAAGGATCTGAAATACCTACTGGTCATGGCTGAAGCCCATAATTCCCTATATTCCCAATGAGCTGGCATTTAGAAACACAGTATATCCATCTCCCCAAGGCACTTCCCATCAGAGGCACAGCACAAGAATGTGTGCTGCGGGGACAAGCAGTGACAATGTGGCTCTGGTGGCACAAAGAGGGTCCCTGAGTGCTGGCTGTGATGCCCACCAGCTGGCCCTGCACCAAGGCAGAGGAGTAGAACAGACACTAAGAATGGGCTTCTTGCTGGTATCGTACTTCAGACCCTGACCAAGCACTTTTGCCAAAGATTGGGGCTTTATTGCACTATACCCAGGCCAAGTCCTTTCTGCTAATGTTTTTGCCATGTCTCACCATGGCTTCCTGGTTTGGTTTTTTCTTTAGGTTTTTTTTTTTCTATTTTTCAGTTTGTTTTCCATTCCCCTCCCCCCCCACCCCCTTCCGCTATAATTTTGTTCTTGCTTTTCAGTGTGACTTGTTGTACTCTATGACAATAACCTTCTTAGCTCTAATGTCCCTCCTACCCCTCAGCAGTTGACCAAGCTCCACCAGTTGGCTATGCAGCAAACCCCCTTTACTCCCCTTGGACAGACCACCCCCGCTTTCCCTGGTACGTACCCACACGCCCTTTCAAGATATCCTTCTCTTACCTGTAGAGTTTCTCTCTCTTTCTAAACTCTTGCTGTTTAATGGAAATGAGCAGGGCAAGTAAAAAGTGGCAGTATCCATGGGGAGAGGTTGAGGAGAGGCTTGACAGATGTTGTGGAGGTTATGGTGTTCAAGGGCGAGCTCTAAGCCTCGGCTTTCCCAGCAGAAGCCTTGAGCACCATCCCTCCCTCCACGGAGGAGACAGCATCCCCTGCCCCGTGCCGCTCCAGATCCCGGTGGGACATCCGTGCTCTCCCAGGAGGAGTGGCTTGGGCTGGCCGGGGGTGCTGCCTCGGGGAGAGGTGCTGAGCCAGGCAGGACAGCACCCTCGCGGTGGGAAGGAGTCGTGGCTGAAGGGGGCTGCGCCGACGGGAGGACAGCCGGCCCCGGCGTGGCCCGAGCCTTGTCCTCAAGGCCGGCGTGTTCCCAGTGACCTGGGAAGCAGATTGAGCACAGGGGATGGAGGTACTTAAAGTACCGCTTGGAAATGACTTTTCTGGCAGTATGTTCATCATATTTTGAGCTTCCTAGATGAAGTGACATTGCTTATCTCCTCGAAGGGAAAAGCATTAAACCTGTTTCTTCTTTGCTCTTCAGGAGAAAAGCTGCCCTTACATTCCTCCGAAGAAGCTCAAAATCTGATGGGCCAGTCATCAGGTAAAACACAAAGCTGGAGGGACGTAAGCAGGCTTTGGTTGAAATATATTCTGTAAATAGGACTGTGCCGTTGTTGTGCTCTGAGAGGAATTGTGGTATTCATGGAGAAGACAGCAGGTTGTCTTGGTGGACACAGAGAGATCGGGCAGCACTCTTCTCCTTGGTGCAGCATGTCAAAAGAAAAGTGCATAGGCTTTATTGCCTGGCTCTGTGACATTTATGTGTAACTCCCACAGAACCACAGAATATCCTGAGTCAGAAAGGACCCACAAAGGATCATCCAGTCCAACTCCTGGACCTGCACAGATGCTCCAACAATCCCAGCCTGTGCATCCCTGGGAGCGGTTTCCAAAGGCTCCTGGAGCTCTGGCAGCCTCGAGGCCGTGCCCATTCCTTGGGGAGCCGGGGCAGTGCCAGCACCCTCTGGGGAGAACCTTTTCCTAATCTCTAGCCTGGACTCTGGCCTGGCATAGCTGCTTGCTGTTCCCTGGGGTGCTGTCCCTGGGCACAGGGAGCAGAGATCGGTGCTGCCCCTCAGGTGTGGTGAGGTCTCCCTCAATTCTGTCTGCAGAAAGGGAAGATACCAGAGTCATCACCCTTATTTCTGCATTTAATTTTGCATAAACTTTGCTCAGAAACAACAGAACAGTGCCGGTGGAAACAGCCATGACATGCAGCTCTAGCCATCTCCAAGCCATTCAGGGTGAGTTGCAATTTTAGTGGGACAGGACCCTGAGGAGCCAAAGCGTGGCTGCAGCCTTGGAGAAATTTTGTCATCTGTCAGATGTCCCACATTCATCCGTATGCGAGGAAGAGATGTGTCTTTTGTTCCCTACCATTGCATAGAGGAGCTGTCCCAAGACCTGGAGGCTCACAGGCAGGATGAACCAGACCTGGAGCACACAGCCATCCCATGCATGCCTCAAAGGCTTGGGGACAGCACCTAACTATTAAAGCGAGCGTAGCCCAAGCAAATAGATCCCACAAGACTGCAGAAATACAGATTTCATGACACTGACCTATGCAGCCATGTTTTCTGCATACCCCCTTTGCCCTTTGCAGTCACCCAAGGCATTAATCCTGCCCTGACACCCTTGTTACAGCCTCAAGGACTGCTTGTACATATCAGAGAGGGAGGATCTGGAGTGATAAAATAACCAGTCTCCAGGTCATGGGGAAGGACGTGGCCATTCCTCAAAGGCTCTGTGATGCAGGGATGGTGCAGTACCATGGCACCAAGTGTCCCAAGGGCCTTCAGCATCATCCATGTCATCTGAGTGTGGGATGGAGGATGTTGCCTATGAGTCTGAGTAGCTTAGCTTATATTCCCTAAGATTCCTGGGTGCCTCTGCTGCTCAGAGCCCTCACTGGTGCTGTGCTCCCTTCGGGAGACATTTTCTGCCACACCTAGGCTGCTGCTGAGCTGAGCCTTTTAACACATGGTCAAGGGAGAGGGACACCCTCACCAGAGGGACATGTCTGTGATAGGTGCAGTCCACCTTACCTCAAACTGTGAGGAGGCACAGTGTATAGGGTAGTCCAGGTGAAGTGTGTGCTGTAAAGTCAGCATTGAGCATTGCCTGTGCTGTAATACCTGGACAGGAGATGTTTTGTGCCTTAGTACCCCTGGCAGAGGGCTGCCTGCTGGAGGATCTGCATCCTCATTCCCTGCACTTCCTCTCCTCTCTGTGTTCCCAAGGGAAAAATCTGGTGAGGAAGCTTCCTGCAGATAGATGTCAGCCAGGTATGTCTGGGAAGCTGCATTCAGGAAAGCACACTAAGTACAGTGTCACATAATCATGGAATGATTTGAGTTGGAAGGGCCCTTACAGCCCATCTTGTTCTACCCCACTGCCATGGGCAGGGACACCTTCTACTATCCCAGGTTGCTCTAAATCTCATCTGCCTCATCTACACTTCCAAGGATGGGACAGCCACAGCTTCTCTGGACAACCGGTGCCAGGGCCTCCTACCCTCATTTCCTAACATCCTAAGATCATGCATGAGCACATCAGAGATACCCAGAGCTCCTCTTCCTCTGTGCTGAGGCCCTCCATGGAAATATGTGAGGAATTGGGTGCTGCTGCTGTCTTGTTTTGCAGGAGCCCTGTACTTCCAGTCTCCTTGCACTTCTTCATTCTGCACCTCTTTAACCACCCTCTTTCCATGGATACAGATCTGGCAGACTCTTCTGTTCTTATAAGCCTTCATCAGTGGTTGATACCATAAGGATAAGGGTTTTTTTTTCCAGTTACTGCAAATTCCTGTCAGGCAACAGACAGCTTCTTTCTTGCAGATCTGACATAGGACGTCCCTGCTTCAGCACTGAGGTGATTTAATATGGGAAACCATGGGACAGACAGGCTTGGACCTAGGATCACTGCAGCATGGTGTCCTCTTACCTCAGGAGCTGCACCCACAGGGTATCCTGCTGGCTCCAGCCATTCCTACCATGGAGGAGAGAGTTCTCCCTGATCCAGGAGAGGGTGGGAGGAAGCTGCTGCCTTTGCTCCTTGCTGTGTGCTGTGCTAGTTTTGGAGGGAAGCAGGATCTAGATCTCCATACTGTTCATCTTGCTTTCCCTTGGGAATAAGAGGGACAGCTGCTCCTGGGTCCAGCTAGGTTGCATGTCTTAGCAGTCTGGCTCAGATTCAGCACGTTGAGTCTGTGGGACTTGACTTGCAGAGGACTTGTGCCGCCGGATCCCGCAGGGACACTGGTTTTGAGGCACCAAGCTGCTGTCACACCCCAGCAACTCAGTGCTGCTGCATCCAGAGAGGGCTGGTGGGTGTCCCAGCCAGCATGCTCTCTGCTGCTGTGTGGGAAGGTGCTTCACCCAACTCTCTTTGCTGATGATGGAATCTTGCACCCTCCTCTGAAGCCATTCCCCGTGGGAGGATGAAGGGTGGGAAGTGAGGCACTGGTGGGATGCAGGGAAGGTGACACCCAGCTCCAGCAGAGGTCAGGTAGCAACTGTCTTCCTCCTCCTTGTCCCAGAGTGTGTGATCCCCTTCCCCTTCCCAGCCCGGAGCAGGATGCAGCCTTGGCAGTGTTGTGGGAAAACAGCAGAGCTCTGTCATGTTGCCACTGCCAGCTCTAACCATGTTCCCTTGAATCTGCCAGGTTTGGATGCCAGTCCCCCGGCCAGTACTCATGAACTCACCATTCCCAATGATGTAAGTAAATCCTAGTGCTTCCTTGGCATGTCTGTGTGTGCGTGTGTGTATACACACATATGTTTGTATATGTATACATAGATCTATGTATAAGCTGCAGCCATTTGACTTTGTTAGAGATTCCACTTCCCCATGATCCCTCATCCATGTCCGTGGGGGACCAACCGGCAGCACAAAGCACCCGCAAGACTCCACCCCGTCGGTAGCTTCCCTAGATACAATCCTTAATGCTCCATTTCCCTTTCCAAGTGAACTCGGTGCTCATGAAACATGCCCAGTTGACAGCACTGGGAGAGAGCTCCCATGACAGCCTTGAGTAAACTCTTAATTGCTTAATCAGGCTGTGGCGGGTCTGAGGTGATGTTCCAGCTCAAGGGTAGTGGCTGGGTGGAGTGGGTGGGGAAGAGGAGGCAAGTAAGTGACATTTCCGCTGCCACAAAGTGCCACACGAGTGTCTGAAGGACAGTGCGTCTCAGTACTGCTGGCAAGCAGCTGTGGGGTCTGATAGGTGAAAGCTTTGTGGTAACATGGGTGGTGGACTGGGACACGGGCCGGGTGGAGGCGGGAGCCATGCTGGGTGGGGAGGAGGTGGGATAGAGAGCATGACACAGCCAGCACCTCGATCCACATGAGCCTCACTTGCTTTTGGACTGGTTTCTATGGATTAAGACCCAATCTGCTTCAGTCAGGATAAGAGCAGGTGGAGCGATGACATCCAGTCTCTATTCCCATCTCCATCACTGACAAGGACCTTCAGCTCACCCTCATCAGGAACCTCTGGATGGGGTCTGTCAGCTGTTTCTCCTTCTCCCTGCTGTTCACCAGCAGCCAGCAGTGCCAGGGAAAGGCAGCGATCCCAGCAGCAACTGCCGGCCACCTCTGCCAAGACCTTTGTCCACCCGAGAGACATGGCAGTGCAAGAGTCTGTGAGCACCTGCTGACTGAAACCCATGGAGATGCTTTGCCAAATTACCACGGGAGGGATCTGCAGAGGAGCCCGTGGGGCCTGATCCCAGATCTGCTTCTGTCCACCCAGCAGGGACTCCTCTCCAGGAAACTGCAGGGAGCTCTGCAGGCACTCCTGAGGTTCCATCATCCACGTCTGCTCAGCATGGAGGACCATAGCAATGAAGGCATCTTCAGGAATATAAAGAGACCCCTTGCAAAAGGACTCATGTAGGAGTAAAGGATGGGAGGCGACCTCTGAGAACTCAGAAGACTTGGAGCATTCATTTGCCAGAGACCCAGCTCTCACCAGACGTGGGAGACATTAGATGTTATCACCTGCATCTTGAAAACTCCTCCTTAGTTCTCCCCATTGTTGTTTCAACGGCTTTCAAACACCCACCACCACCCTCTCATGAAGGAGAGGACAGGTTTGGGTTCCTTTAAAAGTCACCAGGTGTGTTTTATTGGTGTAGCTTGGAGTTGTGCTGCAGTGGAGGGAAATCTGATGATACCCATCTTGCTGCCCCTCTGACTGTCAGGAGAAACTTAAAGGCCATTCAGCTTGGGTGTAGCTGAGCATCTGCCTAAATAGTTTGGCTCCTCAGGTCTCTCCAGCAGATTTCCATTTGCTGAAGCATCTCAGAGTTATTTCTGTGCTGTGAAGACCAGGATGGGCTGAACATACCCCCACAGACCCTGGGACAGTGGCTGCCCTTCCAATGTATATTCAAATCCATATGGGATAAAAACCACCATGGCAGCCCCATAGTCTGGCCAAAGGATCAGAGAATATTTGAAGGAGTAATCATCTCTACTTATACCATGCAGAAATCCAGCAGCTGCCAAGATGAACATCCAATGTATAAAATGCCCTTGGGAAAGAGCTCAAGTGGCCAAAAAGGGCACGCAGAGCACTTCATGCCTGTGTTGGTCAAGCTGGATATCCCTGTATGTGTTACCAAGCTTTGGAAATGCTTTGAGGGAGACGCACAAATGAGGAAAGATCACTGAAGAAATTTAGGCCACTGAGGACCATTGAGGAAATTCAAGGGATGAACAGTTGAGGAAATTCAAGCCTCCAGCTGGCTCTGATTTTTTCACAAGAGTAGGAAGGATGTGGTTTTTTTTAAGGTCCACCTTTCCTGTGGGTGCCACAGCTGTGTGGTGCTCTCCTGTACCCGCTGGCACACCACTGAATTGCACCAAAAGAGCTAGAGAGGGGTAGCAGAGGTACTGAGGGTGTGCTACTGGGATAGAAGAAATGTGGGATGGGGTCACTACACCAGCTGATGAGTGGGCTCCTGGGGTTGGCCTGTTGCCAGGGAAGGCAGCAGGCTTGTTTCCTTGGATTTGTTGTGACTGGCAAGGGGATAAGTACCTGCAAAACACTGACCATCCATTAAATCATGAAAATTATTATTACTGAAGCGAGCCCTCCCTGAAGCCCTCTGAGGTGCTGGGCACCATGTGCAGATAATGGAAATTCTTGCCCACAAGGAGCAGGCCTCTGGATGAGTCCTTGGAGGACCGTGCTCACGCGCTGGTAGGATTCACCCCGGGCTGTCCCTCTCCTGTTTTCATGAGCATTAAGGTCACCCTTGTCCCAGGTGTACTTGCGTCCTGCCGGTGACTGCCAGAGCTGCCGCCTCTCAGACATTCCCTCCGTGCTTTCTTTCCTAGCTAATAGGCTGCATAATCGGACGCCAAGGGACCAAAATCAATGAAATTCGGCAGATGTCGGGAGCGCAGATCAAAATCGCCAACGCCACAGAAGGATCATCGGAGCGCCAAATTACCATCACAGGAACCCCTGCAAACATCAGCCTTGCGCAGTACCTCATCAACGCCAGGTGAGCCCGCCTCCCGCCTCGGCCGATCCCGGCCCGCCTCGGCCGATCCCGGCCCGCCTCGGCCGATCCCGGCCCGC